GTTATTTACGTTAGCGAGTTCTAGAGTAAAGTTGATACATGTAAACATAGACGATCGGCAATAGGTAGACCATAGAGTAGCATTGATAAATGTAAAAATAGGCATCGGGAAGATGTTTGTATCGCTAATGCCATCTTAGAGCAATGGTCAGTGTATGCTTAGCAATGGTCAGTGTATGTAGCTTAAGACCAGGGGACATCGCTACAAATGTGAAACGACCATTGTTACAAACTTAAGACACCAGAGGCCATTGCTTGAGACTTAAGACACCAGTGGCCAATGCTACAGACTTAAGACACCAGGGGCCATTGCTTGAGACTTAAGACACCAGAGGCCATTGCTTGAGACGTAAGACACCTTGGGCCATTGCTACAGACTTAAGACACCAGAGGCCATTGCTTGAGACTTAAGACACCAGTGGCCAATGCTACAGACTTAAGACACCAGAGGCCATTGCTTGAGACTTAAGACACCAGAGGCCATTGCTTGAGACTTAAGACACCTTGGGCCATTGCTACAGACTTAAGACACCAGAGGCCATTGCTTGAGACTTAAGACACCAGAGGCCATTGCTACAGACTTAAGACACCAGGGGCCATTGCTTGAGACTTAAGACACCAGAGGCCATTGCTACAGACTTAAGACACCAGTGGCCAATGCTACAGACTTAAGACACCAGAGGCCATTGCTTGAGACTTAAGACACCAGAGACCATTGCTACAGACTTAAGACACCAGAGGCCATTGCTTGAGACTTAAGACACCAGAGGCCATTGCTACAGACTTAAGACACCAGAGGCCATTGCTTGAGACTTAAGACACCAGAGACCATTGCTACAGACTTAAGACACCAGAGGCCATTGCTTGAGACTTAAGACACCAGAGGCCATTGCTACAGACTTAAGACACCAGAGGCCATTGCTACAGACTTAAGACACCAGACTTAAGACACCTTGGGCCATTGCTACAGACTTAAGACACCAGACTTAAGACACCAGACTTAAGACACCAGAGGCCATTGCTACAGACTTAAGACACCAGACTTAAGACACCTTGGGCCATTGCTACAGACTTAAGACACCAGACTTAAGACACCTTGGGCCATTGCTACAGACTTAAGACACCAGACTTAAGACACCAGAGGCCATTGCTACAGACTTAAGACACCAGAGGCCATTGCTTGAGACTGAAGACACCAGAGGCCATTGCTACAGACTTAAGACACCAGACTTAAGACACCAGACTTAAGACACCAGAGGCCATTGCTACAGACTTAAGACACCAGACTTAGGACACCAGAGACAATTGCTTGAGACTTAAGACACCAGACTTAGGACACCAGAGGCCATTGCTACAGACTTAAGACACCAGAGGCCATTGCTTGAGACTTAAGACACCAGAGACCATTGCTACAGACTTAAGACACCAGAGGCCATTGCTTGAGACTTAAGACACCAGAGGCCATTGCTACAGACTTAAGACACCAGACTTAGGACACCAGAGGCAATTGCTTGAGACTTAAGACACCAGACTTGACTTAAGACACCAGACTTAAGACACCAGACTTGACTTAAGACACCAGAGGCAAGCACTGCTGCCAAAACTTGTGATGGAATCGATTTCTCTCGGCGTCAGCAAGCGGGTCACATGACCTGATTGAGTATAAAAATTAGGGCATATCGATTGACCAGCAAAAAAAAATTCCATTGACGTGACACTGCGCTTTTGTTTTCTTCCTTGTCCTAATTGTGTCTCATATTTGCGACTCATATTTGTGTCTCATTTTTGTGTCTCATATTTTTGTCTCATATTTGTGTCTCATATTTGTGTCTCAGATGTCTCGTGGTGACATATTTGTGTCTCAGATGTGTCACACGCGCGGCAGTGTGTATCAATTTGTGTCTCAATTGTGTCTCGAATTCCTGTCGTATTCCTGAATTAATTCTGTCTTGATCAAGTCATATTGCTAGCAAAGTAAACGCGAAGTTTAAAGCAGTTTTTAATTGGCAGTCGCTAAATAAAAAAAAATCCTATATTGACATGAACCTTGTAATCGACCCAGTTTGAGGCCAGGGTCACGTCTTTGTTGACTCCTCGGTCCCATGACGACTTATCGTGTCGCTTTTGTGTCGATTCAGTCAAGCGTGGTCGTCTCGTCACGTTAAAAACTATTTCCAGAACAATTCTAGACTTCAGCACGCCGAAGAATATTTGAATGGACGTTTTTAATTTCCTGGGAATGTCGGTTGGTCAGTCCTGGATAGGAAATTTAATTCAATAACGTACTTTATGTTTGGTGTAATTATTTAATCCCTGGCGCTGTGTGTGTATGTATGTATGTGTGTGTGTACGTGTGTATGTAAGATCATGGCCCAGGTAATTTTTGAATTCGCGTTTTAAAGCATTTTTTTCTTTCTTTATGTTCCAACAGGTGGGGGGGGGGTCCCTCGTCGGAGAAAACTTAGACCCCCAGCCACTGGTTGAAGTATAGACCCCCATCTACTGGTCACTTTGAAGCATAGACCCCCATCCACTGGTCACTTTGAAGCATAGACCCCCATCCACTGGTCAATTTGAAGCATAGACCCCCATCCACTGGACACTTTGAAGCATAGACCCCAATCCACTGGTCACTTTGAAGCACAGACCCCCAGCCACTGGTTGAAGTATAGACCCCCATCCACTGGACACTTTGAAGCATAGACCCCCATGCACTGGTCACTTTGAAGTAAGACCCCCATCCACTGGTCACTTTGAAGCATAGACCCCCATCCACTGGTCACTTTGAAGTAAGACCCCCATCCACTGGTCACTTTGAAGCATAGACCCCCAGCCACTGGTCACGTTGAAGCACAGACCCCCGGCCACAAGCCTTTTTGAAGTGTAGAGAACAGAAGCCGTTATTAGCAGTGAGCTAGAGAGTGAAGAAAGAAATGTAAGGATGCTGGAATGTCTGACCCGTGGGGAGGCTCGGCTGATCGATTTGTTCGAGAGGTTAGGCCTTGGACTCCCCGGGGAGGGAGACGAGAATTGTGTTAGAGGAAAGATGAATGTTAGCAGAGGAGGAAAGATGAAAGTTAACAGAAGAGGAAAGATGAAAGTTAACAAAGGAGGAAAGATGAATGTTAGCAGAGGAGGAAAGATGAAAGTTAACAGAAGAGGAAAGATGAAAGTTAACAAAGGAGGAAAGATGAAAGTTAACAGAAGAGGAAAGATGAAAGTTAACAAAGGAGGAAAGATGAAAGTTAGCAGAGGAGGAAAGATGAAAGTTAACAAAGGAGGAAAGATGAAAGTTAACAGAAGAGGAAAGATGAAAGTTAACAGAAGGAGGAGATATGAAAGTTAACAGAAGGAGGAAAGATGAAAGTTAACAACGGAGGAGATATGAAAGTTAGCAGAGGAGGAAAGATGAAAGTTAACAAAGGAGGAAAGATGAAAGTTAACAAAGGAGGAAAGATGAAAGTTAACAGAAGGAGGAGATATGAAAGTTAGCAGAGGAGGAAAGATGAAAGTTAACAAAGGAGGAAAGATGAAAGTTAACAGAAGGAGGAGATATGAAAGTTAACAGAAGAGGAAAGATGAAAGTTAACAAAGGAGGAAAGATGAAAGTTAGCAGAGGAGGAAAGATGAAAGTTAACAAAGGAGGAAAGATGAAAGTTAACAAAGGAGGAAAGATGAAAGTTAACAGAAGAGGAAAGATGAAAGTTAACAAAGGAGGAAAGATGAAAGTTAGCAGAGGAGGAAAGATGAAAGTTAACAAAGGAGGAAAGATGAAAGTTAACAAAGGAGGAAAGATGAAAATTAACAGAAGGAGGAAAGATGAAAGTTAACAAAGGAGGAAAGATGAAAGTTAACAACGGAGGAGATATGAAAGTTAACAGAAGAGGAAAGATGAAAGTTAGCAGGAGGAAAGATGAAAGTTAACAGAAGGAGGAAAGATGAAAGTTAACAAAGGAGGAAAGATGAAAGTTAACAGAGGAGGAAAGATGAAAATTAGCAGGAGGAAAGATGAACAACCTGAATTTAGAGGGAAGACAAAACTAAAAACGTGACGCCAATTCTCGGGTACAACAAACCCTAATCAAATATTTAAAGCGGCTGTCGTCGTTTCGGTGTCCAAAAAGGTCGTGACAGAGTGGGGTGTCCGCCCCAAGGTATTGATATCAACACAGCGAGGCGTGGTTACACATTCCATTTCAGATGTTATTTGACCCAGTTCATTATAAGCACAAGGTTTGTGTACTCATACAACTCCTGGGTCCACAGAAGTCTTGCTGTCTTGCTGTCTTGCTGTCATCATGCTGTCTTGATGTCTTGCTGCACGTCACTTAAGTTCTAGTTTCGTTAACACATCCCATTGACGACATAAGTATGCCATAACATAAGGAATCATGTTTAACACACACACACACACAAATATGTATATATATATGTATATATGTATATATATATATATATATATATATATATATATATATATATATAACACACACACATATATATATATATATATGTATATATATATATATATATATATATATATATATATATATATATATATATATATATATATATATATATATATATATATATATATAATATAAAATTATCACAAACATGATTTAGAATTATTTGTCTACTGCTGGCATATTTGCATGTAGCAGCAATACCTAGACCAATACCCACGCTGGAGCGTTTTTATCTGTACTGTTAGCAGCAGTTAGCAGCCTTTTTACTACCAGCTGTGTACGACACCCGCCCCACCCCTACGCTACTGTAATCGTTCAACTAAATATTGACGATTATATTATGGCTTTGTTTTTAAATATGCAGACAAAACCAGGATTGAGGTTTAAAATAAACGATGTCTTAATATCGTTGTTTTCACGGTTGGGAAATAAACTTAGCTTCCCTCCCTCTCTCTCTCACGCGTTCTCAGACTTTCTCACAACTCATGATAAAAAAAAAACCGATGGGAAGCGATGTGCGGTTCGTCTGCCGGCGCGTGGGGGGATGTGACGCTTTTGGACGAGTCCATTTTTACGGAACACGGTGGGAACAGGAATAAAAGACTAAATGACGGCAGCTGAATGCTAGTATTGGATATCACACAGCAATGTACGGATCGGGAAATTCTCTCACAAGGTAACACATTTTTACGCTAGTTATTTTTATTTTATGAACTGTGTTAATCGGCAGAGTAGTCACGTTAGTGTGCCTAGAATTTCAGTTTTAATCATAGCATAGTAGTGTGGGGGTGGTGTTTGTGTGAGGGTGGTGGTTGTGTGAGGGTGGTGGTTGTGGTTGTGTGAGGATGGTGGTTGTGTGAGGGTGGGTGGTTGTGTGAGGGTGGTTGTTGTGTGAGGGTGGTGGTTGTGGTTGTGTAGGGGTGGTGGTTGTGTGAGGGTGGTGGTTGTGTGAGGGTGGTGGTTGTGTGAGGGTGGTAGTTGTGGTGGTTGTGTGAGGGTGGTAGTTGTGGTGGTTGTGTGAGGGTGGTGGTTGTGTGAGGGTGGTAGTTGTGGTGGTTGTGTGAGGGTGGTGGTTGTGTGAGGGTGGTGGTTGTGTGAGGGTGGTGGTTGTGTGAGGGTGGTGGTGTGAGGGTGGTGGTTGTGTGAGGGTGGTGGTTGTGTGAGGGTGGTGGTTGTGTGAGGGTGGTGGTTGTGTGAGGGTGGTGGTTGTGTGAGGGTGGTGGTGTGAGGGTGGTGGTTGTGTGAGGGTGGTGGTTGTGTGAGGGTGGTGGTTGTGTGAGGGTGGTGTTTGTGTGAGGGTGGTGGTTGTGTGAGGGTGGTGGTTGTGGTGGTTGTGTGAGGGTGGTGGTTGTGTGAGGGTGGTGGTTGTGTGAGGGTGGTGGTTGTGTGAGGGTGGTGGTGTGAGGGTGGTGGTTGTGTGAGGGTGGTGGTTGTGTGAGGGTGGTGGTTGTGTGAGGGTGGTGGTTGTGTGAGGGTGGTGGTTGTGTGAGGGTGGTGGTGTGAGGGTGGTGGTTGTGTGAGGGTGGTGGTTGTGTGAGGGTGGTGGTTGTGTGAGGGTGGTGTTTGTGTGAGGGTGGTGGTTGTGTGAGGGTGGTGGTTGTGGTGGTTGTGTGAGGGTGGTGGTTGTGTGAGGGTGGTGTTTGTGTGAGGGTGGTGGTTGTGTGGGGGTGGGTGGGGGTATATTAAAAAAAAGAGGACATCACTTTTAATAGCTGACAGAATTATTGACAAATTCCGTTTTAGAAAGGTTTTCATCCCTCGGGCTTCTCCCATTGAGTGGGTTGTACACGAGGGATTGGGGTGGGGGTTGAGGGGGGTGTAGAAGCGGAAGTAATTTAACATTGTAAACATTTGTTGCAATACTTAACCCTAACTACTGCGTGTCGATTAGACACCACACGCAATTGCAAACACATTTAAACGTTCCCACAACTCAACTCTAACATAGCTAGAGTTGGATTAAGGGTTAGTGTTAATTCACTGTTAATAGTAGTCAGCATACTACGCTCAGGCTCCAAAAGTAGGGTTAGCATCAATACATACCAGTTAGCGTTAGATTCTGTAAGATACACGCTATTGCAATACATACCAGTTAGGGTTAGGTTTTGTAAGGTACACGCTATTGCAATACATACCAGTTAGGGTAAGGATCTGTAAGATGCACGATTTCAATACATACAAGTTAGGATTAGGGTTAGATTTTGTAAGATACACGCAATACAAATCGCCATTAAACAAACCGTATTTTTTATATTGTCAAAGGTCAGCCTGACATGCAGGTTCTAAACAAACAAGGGTGTCAAAAATTTGGTCCGATCACGTGACTTGAATAGGTGCTCCAACCTAGGCAGGTACAGGGATGGGTGTGAAATAGTTGAAAGGTGTCACTAATCCGCTCTCATTAATCGGCAGGTCTATATTACTAACTGTTGTACCAACAGAGAGAGGGTAATACTTCAATATTTGCAGCCCATCCTTGGAGTGAGATATACATATATATATATATATATATATATATATATATATATATATATATATATATATATATATATATATATATATATATATATATATATATATATATATGTATATATATATATACATATATTCAGACAGACAGACGGACAGACTGACGGACAGACAGACAGACAGACGGACAGACAGATAGACAGACAGACAGACAGACAGATGGATGGATGGATATACAGAGAGATATGCAGAGAGATGAACGAAATATACAAATATTTAATACAGCTAATCTTTTACTTACAATTGACCAGTATGAAAGCCATATATTCGCGTGTTTAAGTTTAAGTGTAAAAAGAGCGTTATAACGGAGCACAAAACTGGCGCTCTGATTACACTCATTAACGTCGTTAATTTATTCACTTACTGTCCGTCGCTAAAATAAACGAATTTTAACTACTTGTAAATTTATTGTCGTCACGTCAGGGTAGAGCATATTAAATAGGCGAGAGTTTAACTTGAGCGTTAAATTTGTGCGAGAGTTTAACTTGAGCGCTAAACTTGTGCAAGAGTTTAACTTGAGCGCTAAACTTGTGCAAGAGTTTGACTCTGAGGTTGCGATTGTATCGAACCTAAATAAATCAGTGGCGGTTAAGTAAGAATCGACGTGTCCAGGTGTGAAGTAATTAGTCTCACCTGGATTGCTGCCCCACTTGAGGCGGCTGATTGTCTATAGAACGTTTTGTTTTCTGGCTATGTCAGATTTTAGCTGATACAATACTGTGTTTTCATAGAAGTGGCCTAGATTGATGTGTATGTTGACAGAAAGATGGACGGACAGACAGACAGACAGGAAGACAGGCAGGCAGACGCACAGACAGACAGACAGACAGACAGACAGACAGACAGACAGACAGACAGACAGACAGACAGACAGACAGACAGACAGACAGACAGACAGACAGACAGACAGACAGACAGACAGACAGACAGACAGACAGACAGACAGACATTTACCAATGCACCCATGATCTTTTGGCCACAGTTCTAGAGCAGTAGGTTACTTTAACACCTGCATCTATTAGGTTAGTGTCGGAGCCTAATCCAAGGCAACTCCCAGATACATTCGGCAAGTGTCGGCAAGTTTCGGCAAATTTCGGCAAATGACAGGGTTGAGGTACGGACTATTGACGGGAGCGATGACGTGTACACGAGTATTGATCTAAGTCGCTTCCAGATTGTCATACTCTATGACCCCCACCCCACGGGCCCCCTGCTTGTACCTTTCTATTTCAATCAAGTCATCCCAGCAGCATACACTATGGCGTTAGTGACACTGTCATGACAATCACATAATCACATACACTATGACGTTAATGACACTGTCATGACAATCACATAATCACATACACTACGGCGTTAGTGACACTGTCATGACAATCACATACACTACGGCGTTAGTGGCACTGTCATGACAATCACATACACTACGGCGTTAGTGACACTGTCATGACAATCACATACACTACGGCGTTAGTGGCACTGTCATGACAATCACATACACTACGGCGTTAGTGACACTGTCATGACAATCACATACACTACGGCGTTAGTGGCACTGTCATGACAATCACATAATCACATACACTACGGCGTTAGTGGCACTATGTCATGACAATCACATAATCACATACACTACGGCGTTAGTGGCACTATGTCATGACAATCACATAATCACATACACTACGGCGTTAGTGGCACTCTGTCATGACAATCACATAATCACATACACTACGGCGTTAGTGGCACTGTCATGACAATCACATACACTACGGCGTTAGTGGCACTCTGTCATGACAATCACATAATCACATACACTACGGCGTTAGTGGCACTATGTCATGACAATCACATACACTCTGATGTCACTGACACACGGTTGAAAGTCATAACCCAATGACCTGTGACTCGTGACCTGAGACATACACATTATATGACGTCTATAACGACAAAGTCTATGACACTGATATACACACATATATAACATCACGACATACACAGTAAATGACATCCCGACTAAATAACAACAGTGACGCACCTACTACTTTCTATGTTTACAACTTAGTATCTCCGCATGAAGACAGGGCAGCCAGGTTCCGATAACTCGTTCACACACAACTTTACAAGTGAGTTATTCCGCCTTGACTCAGCCGCCAGGGGCCGATAACTCTGATGATATACAGTCTCGTTTACAAATCCGCTGATTTAGTGCCAGCGTTGTTCCCCTTGAGTCGAGTGCCCGCCCAAGTAACCCACATCTGGTTTGTGTTATGGTTAGGTTAACTGATGATGGAGTAGCAGATGCAAGGAAGAGTGGGGGTGGGGTGGGTGCGGCGCCTTAACCTAACCATCTCAGCCGTACATAATTAACAGAGCTAAAACCCGTTAATTATCAAGCGGAGAATTACCTGCGGAAACTCGAAAATAATTAAACTCAACAATCACCATTGACAGGATGATGAACTCTTATTATCTTGTTTTCTAACGACCTTCAGCCAAGTTTTCTCCCTTGGTTTAAACTTTTACAAGAATCAAGTTTCACAAATTACGTACAGTGTACAGGTGTGTACGTCAGGGGTAAGAGGTGGGGGGGGGTATGATGTATCGGAGATTGTGGAATATTTTTAACACGGCATTGAGTATGTGTTTGAGTAAAATTCCCTTAAACCAATACTACAGGCCATCTCTTATTTTTTACAATTATGGGCACAAACTGACATCATGAGCACAAACAAGACAATTATTGGCACAAATTGACAAGCATAAAAAGGCAATTATGGGCACCAAATGACATTAATGATGCTAGGAAATCGAGAAAATGTCAAGTTTTAAAATTCCCACAACAATTTGTAATGTTTGAGGGCATTTAGGAGGAGAAAGCAGGATGATTTTATTCCCCAGATCATATTTAGGATCAGTGGCGTAGCGAGGTCGGGTGTCACCCGGTGCGGCACTTAATGGTGTCACCCCCTCAGAGGCGTTGCGACCCTTCCCGGGGACAAACTTTAAAGTTTTCGATTTGCACCCCCCCCCTCAAACTTTCGATTTGTACCCCCCCCCCCGCCTCAAACTTTCGATTTGCACCCCCCCTCAAGTTTTTCTCTATATATTTTGCTATTTTTTGCCTTGGTGTCACCCCCCTAAATGGTGTCACCCGGTGCGGTCCGCCCCCCCCCTCGCTACGCCCCTGTTTAGGATGTTCCCCAGATAAAAGTCAGGTCTATTCCCCAGATGATAGGATGTTTCTATTCCCCAGATGATAGTCAGGATGTTTCTATTCCCCAGATGATAGTCAGGATGTTTCTATTCCCCAGATGATAGTCAGGATGTTTCTATTCCCCAGATGATAGTCAGGATGTTTCTATTCCCCAGATGATAGTCAGGCTGTTTCTATTCCCCAGATGATAGTCAGGATGTTTCTATTCCCCAGATGATAGTCAGGATGTTTGTATTCCCCAGATGATAGTCAGGATGTTTGTATTCCCCAGATGATAGTCAGGATGTTTGTATTCCCCAGATGATAGTCAGGATGTTTCTATTCCCCAGATGATAGTCAGGATGTTTGTATTCCCCAGATGATAGTCAAGATATTTCTATTCCCCAGATGATAGTCAGGATGTGTCTATTCCCCAGATGATAGTCAGGATGTTGCTGAAGTGGAAGTACCGGTGGTGTTGGAACAAGGGGAGCAGCCTGGCCGTGCTGTGTTTCCTTGGGGGTCTGTGCATGTTCTTCTGGCATGTCTCACTAAACTCTGCTGGTGAGTACTGAACTAGGACGGTGGAGTTAGGTCTGTGCATGTTCTTCTGGCATGTCTCACTAAACTCTGCTGGTGAGTACTGAACTAGGACGGTGGAGTTAGGTCTGTGCATGTTCTTCTGGCACGGGTCATTGAACTCTGCTGGTGAGTACTGAACTAGGACGGTGGAGTTAGGTCTGTGCATGTTCTTCTGGCATGTCTCACTCTGCTGGTGAGTAGTGAACTAGGACGGTGGAATTAGGTCTGTGCATGTTCTTCTGGCATTGGTTATTGAACTCTGCTGGTGAGTACTGAACTAGGACGGTGGAGTTAGGTCTGTGCATGTTCTTCTGGCGTGTCTCACTCTGCTGGTGAGTACTGAACTAGGACGGTGGAGTTAGGTCTGTGCATGTTCTTCTGGCATGTCTCACTCTGCTGGTGAGTACTGAACTAGGACGGTGGAGTTAGGTCTGTGCATGTTCTTCTGGCATGTCTCACTCTGCTGGTGAGTACTGAACTAGGACGGTGGAGTTAGGTCTGTGCATGTTCTTCTGGCATGTCTCACTCTGCTGGTGAGTACTGAACTAGGACGTTGGAGTTAGGTCTGTGCACGTTCTTCTGGCATGTCTCACTCTGCTGGTGAGTACTGAACTAGGACGGTGGAGTTAGGTCTGTGCATGTTCTTCTGGCATGTCTCACTCTGCTGGTGAGTACTGAACTAGGACGGTGGAGTTAGGTCTGTGCATGTTCTTCTGGCATGTCTCACTCTGCTGGTGAGTACTGAACTAGGATGGTGGAGTTAGGTCTGTGCATGTTCTTCTGGCATGTCTCACTCTGCTGGTGAGTACTGAACTAGGACGGTGGAGTTAGGTCTGTGCATGTTCTTCTGGCATGTCTCACTCTGCTGGTGAGTACTGAACTAGGACGGTGGAGTTAGGTGAACAGGTACACTATATGTGGTTTGCCAGGTATACTGTAGGTGGATGGCCAGGTATATTGTAGGTGGGTGGCCAGGTATTCTGTAGGTGGTTGGCCTGGTATGCTGTATAAGAGCAAGCTTTAAAATGGATTAAAAAGAAAATAAACCCACTTTACTTGACTAAAACGTGTTGATCGCCCGTGAAATCTCAGCCATATTTTTAGGCCTAGTTGAGGTGAAAAAATGTCGATTAGCTAATACTTTGGGTAATATGAGCTAGAACAACATTAAAGGGCTTACAGTTTGTTGTATTGATTGTGGTTTAATAAAGGGTTGTGTACAGAGGTTGTGTCATTTTGTTGGCTACACGGGGTAAGTTTCTGGGTTGCACGGAGATGTACGTTTGTGGGCTAAACGGAGGTGTAAGTTTGTTGGCTACACGGAGTCTGGGTCAGTTCGTGGGCTACACGTAGGGTTTCTAAATTAAATGAAAGACTCGTTGCATAATTTATAAGCTAGTGGCCTTGTTTCGTTCGCTAATAAAGGTCGTCTATTAATGATGACGCAATTTTTCGGCCGATTCTTAACCCCCACCCTACCCCTTTCATATTCTCTGCTGAATTAGATGAAAACTCCAGTATTTTCCACTAAATTAGATGAAAAGCTTCTCGTATTTTCCACTAAATTAGATGAAAAGCTTCTCGTATTTTCCACTACATTAGATGAAAGCTTCTCGTATTTTCCACTAATTAGATGAAAGCTTCTCGTATTTTCCACTAATTAGATGAAAAGCTTCTCGTATTTTCCACTACATTAGATGAAAGCTTCTCGTATTTTCCACTAAATTAGATGAAAGCTTCTCGTATTTTCCACTAAATTAGATGAAAAGCTTCTCGTATTTTCCACTAAATTAGATGAAAAGCTTCTGATATTTTCCACTAAATTAGATGAAAGCGTCTCGTATTTTCCACTAAATTAGATGAAAGCTTCTCGTATTTTCCACTAAATTAGATGAAGGGCTTCCCATACATCCCTACTTTGACCAGACCTCAGAGGCGGAAGTGATGACGCACCAGATGACGACAGCGAAAGAAATACCAAAAAGGTTTGTTGCTTAGCTTTGTGGTTGGTGGTTGGTGTGATATGGCTAGTGTGTAGCTGGTTTATGGCTGGTGTTTGGCTGTAATATAGCTGTGATATGGCTGATGTATGAAATGATATGGCTAGTGTGTAGCTGGTTTATGGCTGGTGTTTGGCTGTGATATGGCTGATGTATGAAATGATATGGCTAGTGTGTAGCTGGTTTATGGCTGGTGTTTGGCTGTGATGTAGCTGTGATGTGGCTGATGTATGAAATGATATGGCTGGTGTTTGGCTGTGATATAGCTGTGATGTAGATGTGATGGGGCTGTTCTTTGCCATATCCAGCGACGTGTATAGAACGTCACAGCTGACTTACTAAAAAATGTCTGTTTGTGTGAAGGGTAAGCACGGAATGTATTGACTCTGGTCAATGAAAAATAAACTCATTTGGTCTGCACTATAGAAAACAAACAACATTGATTTGGTGAGGAAACAAACGTGGGGAGGGGGAGTAGTAGTGGGGGCAGTAGGGCGTGGTCTTTTTTATAATTAGCACGTCAACAGAGCACTGCAGGTGTGACACAATGTGACTCCGACACGATGTGAACATCCCACACAGTAAATCCCGACTAAACTAATAACAAAGACACAAATACGGTGTCTCAACATATAGTGTCTCCACAAATACAAAAAAATGTCTCCACAAAATTTCTGTTTGATAAGCCGAGTTCTGCCGCACACACAACACAGGACTCTGAAATTAAGGTTAAAGTGGCAGTAGGGATCGTGGTTGAATGGTAGAGCTTTCAGCTGCTAACCAGAAGAAATGAAACAAAACAATCAGATAGAAGCAACGTGTGCAGGGTTAAGTAAGGGGCTTTTTAAAAAACGTCACATGTACCAAGAGCCAATGTTTCAAAACCCCATTTTATGATACCCACAATACTACGTTGTTTTTTTAGCACCGGCACAACTTCCGTCGTCAGGAGCGACCGCAGTCGTCTGCAGACGGAGCAAGTCAAGTACGAGGAACATCGTCGGAGGGTGGGTCACGTCTGCCGCAACCAGACCCGCCCGCCCCACCCCACAAACCTGCTGTGGTTGGTGAAGAAACTGAACAACCCTCTCATCTCAACCCGAACCAGAGCCTTGTTCTGTCCAGTGGGCAAGGTCGCCTCGACCTTCTTCACCAGGTAAAAGTTGTTTAAATCACGTGGGTACAGGTAGATACCACAGATATAGGGTCATGACAGTTCTTATTAGGCGCTAGACGGACACGCTTTGAAACTAAAACCTATAGCGCATCAAACAATTTTTTAAAAAGTATCTAAGCATACGGACGGTGTGGTCGAATGTTAGAGCATTCGACTGCTAACCAGATACTCGAGTTCGGATCCACCTCTTTCTTGTACCTGACTCACAGTAGGGAAAGTAAAGGCGGCTGGGAAAATAGCTGAACACACTATCCTATAATAACCGAGGTAAATAAAACAGGTGAACTCTACTTCATCTGCTCCATGGACCGTTCGGTTCAAAATGTTGCTTTACTTTTTGTTTTAATCTACAAAAAGATAGCTGAGCAACTGACCAACTGAGTAACTGACCAACTGAGCAACTGAGCAACTGACCAACTGAGCAACTGACCAACTGACCAACTGACCAACTGACCAACTGACCAATGTCTCCCCAGGTTCCTGATGATCATCGAACAGCCGAGCCTGGCCCACTCCCCTTACGACATCCCCATCGAGAAGGCCTCGAGGGAGAGCATCCGGAGTCTAAAGTCTCTCCGCACGCTGCAAGCCATGAGCTCCTTCATCACCGGCTCCACCAGCATCGTGTTCGGCAGGAACCCCTACTCGAGAATTTTCTCAGCCTACATCGATAAAATGTTATCCCCCAACCCGTACTACTGGAAGAGTTGGGGGGAGAAGGCGCTAAAGATGAGTTCGATTTTAAAAGCGAACGGAACGTGCGCCTCTAACGTGACATTCGAGCAGTTTCTCAAGGCCGTGGCCTTGGACTTGTACAAAAGAGATTTACATTTAAAGATGGTGTCGGCGGAGTGCCAGATGTGCGCCCTGAACTACAGCATCGTGGGCAGGCTGGAGACGATGAGAGAGGACGTGGACTACATCGCCGCCAGACTCAACGTCTCGTCTGGCTTCCAACACGAGCCGGACTACGGCCTGGCTGCGGCCATGGACTCGGTCAAGGACACGGTCGACAGCGCCTTCTCGTGGAGACCAGAAATCGGAAAGTGCATATCCTTCGACGAAATGGGCCGGCGTATATGGCGGAAGTTCCAAATTCGTGGCGTGATTGACAGTAACATACACTACCCATTCCGTCCTGACGAGCTGGCTGACATGCGCACTGAGACGTTCATTGCAGCCTGCAGAGCCGCCATTTTGGCGTCTAAAGACAAAGCCCAGTTAAAGAAACAAAAAAATCAAGCGCTGTTAGAAGCGTACTCCTCCGTCAACATAACACTGCTTTACAAGATTAGTCATATATACAGTGATGATTTAACTATGTTTGATTATGAAAAGTTGCCAGATAAATTATTTAAAAACCGAGATAAAATTGAAAAAACTGGATATTTAGATTGGTGGACTCCTTGGAATTTGAGATGATTTTTTTTTTTAAACTCCACATTGTGACGACATCTAGTCAGAAAACATGTGATTTTTTGTTCCGCCTTTGGTACTGGTCTACATCATTAGATCTATTTTGTTCCAGTACTGGTCTACATCATTAGATCTATTTGTTCCAGTACTGGTCTACATCATTAGATCTATTTTCTTCCAATATCTGTCAGAGCTGTCCACGACAACTTCCCCCAATGTTAGAACGTAGAATAACAAAAGACAGCAACACGCGGCCATCTTGATGGTGTGTTGATCACGTGATCCTGTTTTAACCATTCCTCAGCTTTGTTTCCCAAACGTGGAGTCATCTCAATCTGACGTCACGCTATTTCGCAATTCTTCCATCTTCGTCCTACTACCATCCCACTACCATCCTAACCCCTAACAATCACAATACCATCATTAATATACCATCGTAACACTGTCATTACTTAGTACATTATCAGTACATTACAAACTTCTACTAATATAGCTTTAAAACCACCACCAATTATATCATATATCACCACTACAACAAAACACCATCATTACTAGATCATTACACCAGGCCTACAATAATTCATTACATCATCAGCCTACCATCATTACACCAACACCAACCTTTTACCATCAAACACCATCCCACATCAAACAAACACAACAACCCCCCCCCCCCCCCCACAAAAGAAAGATAACGCCACATTGCTCCTACAGTTCGCACACCGCCATTCAAATATCAGATTCCCCAGCTGAGGGGACTCTGACGTTTTCTCCTGGCTTCTCGCCGCTCATTCGATAAAATGTCATTTACGTTAATTCATTACAAAGTAATTTATTAAAAGAGATCATTTTAAAACCTTGTTTTGAAGTAAATAATGTTATCCACTGATTAACTTGTTATGTGTTTAAGTTCTATATTTATGTAACGTGTTTACGTGTAATTAAGTGACGTGTTTACGTTTATTTGTGTGACGTGTTTACGTGTATTTGTATGAAGTGTTTACGTGTATTTATGTGACGTGTTTACGTGTAATTAATTGACGTGTTTACGTGTATTTGTATGAAGTGTTTACGTGTATTTATGTGACGTGTTTACGTGTAATTAAGTGACGTGTTTACGTGTATTTGTATGAAGTGTTTACGTGTATTTGTGTGACGTGTTTACGTGTATTTGTATGAAGTGTTTACGTGTATTTGTGTAACGTGTTTACGTTTATTTGTGTGACGTGTTTACGCGTATTTGTATGAAGTGTTTACGTGTATTTGTGTGACGTGTTTACGTTTATTTGTGTGACGTGTTTACGTGTATTTGTATGAAGTGTTTACGTGTGATTATGTGACGTGTTTACGTGTATTTGTGTGACGTGTTTACGTGTAATTATGTGACGTGTTTACGTGTAATTATGTGACATGTTTACCTGTATTTGTGTGACGTGTTTACGTGTATTTGTGTGACGTGTTTACGTGTATTTATGTGACGTGTTTACGTGTAATTATGTGACGTGTTTACGTGTAATTATGTGACATGTTTACGTGTATTTGTGTGACGTGTTTACGTGTATTTAAGTGATGAGTTTGAGGCGCTTCTTTCGGGTGATGTCACTTGTCAGTGTCAGCTTAGCTAGAAGGAAGGCGACTTCTGTAGATAATTTCCAGTTTCAAGAAAACGACCCCCCCCCCCCCATCACCTTACTATGCTTCAAGGTATCACACCCCGGGTAGGAGCCTGAAACACACATATTTAACCACTTTCACACACTTTAAATTAATTTTAAGGCAGGCTGTATGTAAGTGGGCCATCAATTAATGTATGCTGTAAGTGGTCTATTAATTAAGGCAGGCTGTAAGTGGTCTATTAATTAAGGCAGGCTGTAAGTGGTCTATTAATTAAGCAGGATGTAAGTTGGCCATCTATTAAGGTATATTGTTAGTGACCCATAAATTATAGCATGTAATAACTTGCCCATAACGCATGACATGAAATGTTGCCCATGAATCAGGACATGAAATGTTGCCCATTAATCACGACATGAAATGTTGCCCATTAATCACGACATGAAATGTTGCCCATTCATCACGATATTAAAAGAACGATGTGATTCGGGACCCGACCTCTACATTTAGATTTCTTGTTCACCTATAATGGTGCAATAAGGTCGATAGTCCCCCCCCCCCCAACCCTTCCCCACGACTCTGTGATCATTAGACCTGGACTAAAAGTAGGTCATATTTAATTATCAGTTGGCTTATAAAGAGGCAAATAGAATTGTGATGAACTTCTTTACTGTTGCAAGGTACAGGCGGTCGTTGCGGATGAGTGATCAATCAGTCACGTGGTTGGTTTAATTTGATTGTTTTTTTTTCTTTTGTTAAGAGCGGACTTCTACACATATAAAACATCTTCCATACGGTTAAACACTTCACCTTTGGCTCGTTATATATGACATGTATGAATATATATATATATATATATATATATATATATATATATATATATATATATATATATATATATATATATATATATATATATATATAATACGTGTGTGTGTGCGTATGTGTGTGTGTGTGTGCACGTTGATGTGTAGCTATATTGGTAGTTGTATGTGCGTGTGTGTATTGTTTACTGCCAATTTAAAAAAAAAAGTTCAGCCCAGATCGATTTGCGTTTAAAAAATCTCTACTTAATGAACAGCCCAATGAACAGACCTTTGAAGAGACGTTCCATTAATCAGACTATCGTAACAAACAACCCCCTAACCATGATCAATAGCTCAATGAGTTGTCCTTTGTTCTCCTTTATCTGCACCTACGCGACAAGTGGGGACATTGTTTTGGTTGGTTTTGTCTAGCGGTCATAAGAAAATTGTTGCTAAGTGGCTTTACAAGGGTTCAGTAAGTGTGTGGGGGGGGGGGGGGGCTGGCTTGGTGTGTCAGGCCGTATCAATGCTGGATCTATGTTGGTTCTATGTTGCACTGTGCTGCAATGTATGGAGATTGGTGTTGCAGTTTGACGTTTTTATTTGTATACAGCTGTGTAGGCAGGTGGACATTAGGCAGTGTTTCCTTTTGCACCCCTCACTAGTCATCCCCCCCTGGTGAAAAATGTCTGGGAAAAATACACACTGGTTCTAAGGAGTTAAATTAGAACCCACATGGATCCCCCCTCCCTAAAATAAAGTGTTTTGTCTGAGATATTTTGTCTAAGATAGTTTGTCCTGAGATAATTTGTCCTGTCACCATACTTATTATAGGCATATATATATAAGTATATGGTCATATGCAATATATATATATATATATATATATATATATATATATATATATATATATATGCACACACATATATTGACATTGATTTTATTTAAACTTGAAACACCCCCAAACACAACAATCCTGTCTACTATTACACTGTACTATCTGTGTCTGCTTGTCGAAAACATTAAGGGAGGGTAATGAGACTAAGAAGATTGTTAAAATGGAGGTGGTTGGTGGGGTGGTTGGTGGGGGTGGTTTGTGGGGGTGGTGGTGGGGGGAATCATCTCTTATTCACTAACGAGAAGAATTAATCATTTTAAACTCATGAAATTTTTACATTTGCGCCTCCCCCTCCCCATCTCTCCCCAGTTGTCCACCCCTCCTGTGCACGCGTGCTCACTTTGATTGATGTCCGCCTCCTTTTGTTGACAAAAGAGAAGATAACTCAGGAGCACGGCTGCCATCAACTCCACGGCCCTGTTATGTATGGCTGTGTCGCTACCACTGTACCATGTTATGTATGGCTGTGTCGCTACCACTGTACCCTGTTATGTATGGCTGTGTCGCTACCACTGTACCCTGTTATGTATGGCTGTGTAGCTACCACTGGCTGTACCCTGTTATGTATGGCTGTGTAGCTACCACTGGTTGTACCCTGTTATGTATGGCTGTGTAGCTACCACTGTACCCTGTTATGTATGGCTGTGTAGCTACCACTGGTTGTACCCTGTTATGTATGGCTGTGTAGCTACCACTGGCTGTATCCTGTTATGTATGGCTGTGTAGCTACCACTGGTTGTACCCTGCTATGTATGGCTGTGTAGCTACCACTGTACCCTGTTATGTATGGCTGTGTAGCTACCACTGGCTGTACCCTGTTATGTATGGCTGTGTAGTTACCACTGGTTGTACCCTGTTATGTATGGCTGTGTAGCTACCACTGTACCCTGTTATGTATGGCTGTGTAGCTACCACTGGCTGTACCCTGTTATGTATGGCTGTGTAGCTACCACTGTACCCTGTTATGTATTGCTGTGTAGCTACCACTGGCTGTACCCTGCTATGTATGGCTGTGTAGCTACCACTGTACCCTGTTATGTATTGCTGTGTAGCTACCACTGGCTGTACCCTGCTATGTATGGCTGTGTCGCTACCACTGGCTGTACCCTGTTATGTATGGCTGTGTAGCTACCACTGGCTGTACCCTGTTATGTATGGCTGTGTAGCTACCACTGGCTGTACCCTGCTATGTATGGCTGTGTCGCTACCACTGGCTGTACCCTGTTATGTATGGCTGTGTAGCTACCACTGGCTGTACCCTGTTATGTATGGCTGTGTAGCTACCACTGGCTGTACCCTGCTATGTATGGCTGTGTCGCTACCACTGGCTGTACCCTGTTATGTATGGCTGTGTAGCTACCACTGGCTGTACCCTGTTATGTATGGCTGTGTAGCTACCACTGGCTGTACCCTGTTATGTATGGCTGTGTAGCTACCACTGGCTGTACCATGTTATGTATGGCTGTGTAGCTACCACTGGCTGTACCCTGTTATGTATGGCTGTGTAGCTACCACTGGTTGTACCCTGTTATGTATGGCTGTGTAGCTACCACTGGCTGTACCCTGCTATGTATGGCTGTGTCGCTACCACTGGCTGTACCCTGTTATGTATGGCTGTGTAGCTACCACTGGCTGTACCCTGCTATGTATGGCTGTGTCGCTACCACTGGCTGTACCCTGTTATGTATGGCTGTGTAGCTACCACTGGCTGTACCCTGTTATGTATGGCTGTGTAGCTACCACTGGCTGTACCCTGTTATGTATGGCTGTGTAGCTACCACTGGCTGTACCCTGTTATGTATGGCTGTGTAGCTACCACTGGCTGTACCCTGTTATGTATGGCTGTGTAGCTACCACTGGCTGTACCCTGCTATGTATGGCTGTGTCGCTACCACTGTACCCTGTTATGTATGGTTGTGTAGCTACCACTGGCTGTACCCTGTTATGTATGGCTGTGTAGCTACCACTGGCTGTACCCTGTTATGTATGGCTGTGTAGCTACCACTGGCTGTACCCTGTTATGTATGGCTGTGTAGCTACCACTGGCTGTACCCTGTTATGTATGGCTGTGTAGCTACCACTGGCTGTACCCTGTTATGTATGGCTGTGTAGCTACCACTGGCTGTACCCTGTTATGTATGGCTGTGTCGCTACCACTGTTATGTATGGCTGTGTAGCTACCACTGGCTGTACCCTGTTATGTATGGCTGTGTCGCTACCACTGTTATGTATGGCTGTGTAGCTACCACTGGCTGTACCCTGTTATGTATGGCTGTGTAGCTACCACTGTTATGTATGGCTGTGTAGCTACCACTGGCTGTACCCTGTTATGTATGGCTGTGTCGCTACCACTGTTATGTATGGCTGTGTAGCTACCACTGGCTGTACCCTGTTATGTATGGCTGTGTCGCTACCACTGTTATGTATGGCTGTGTAGCTACCACTGGCTGTACCCTGTTATGTATGGCTGTGTAGCTACCACTGTACCCTGTTATGTATGGCTGTGTAGCTACCACTGTACCCTGTTATGTATGGCTGTGTAGCTACCACTGGCTGTACCCTGTTATGTATGGCTGTGTCGCTACCACTGTTATGTATGGCTGTGTAGCTACCACTGGCTGTACCCTGTTATGTATGGCTGTGTCGCTACCACTGTTATGTATGGCTGTGTAGCTACCACTGGCTGTACCCTGTTATGTATGGCTGTGTAGCTACCACTGTACCCTGTTATGTATGGCTGTGTCGCTACCACTGTACCCTGTTATGTATGGCTGTGTCGCTACCACTGTACCCTGTTATGTATGGCTGTGTCGCTACCACTGTACCCTGTTATGTATGGCTGTGTAGCTACCACTGGCTGTACCCTGTTATGTATGGCTGTGTAGCTACCACTGGTTGTACCCTGTTATGTATGGCTGTGTAGCTACCACTGGCTGTACCCTGCTATGTATGGCTGTGTAGCTACCACTGGTTGTACCCTGTTATGTATGGCTGTGTAGCTACCACTGGCTGTACCCTGTTATGTATGGCTGTGTCGCTACCACTGGCTGTACCCTGTTATGTATGGCTGTGTAGCTACCACTGGCTGTACCCTGTTATGTATGGCTGTGTAGCTACTACTGGCTGTACCCAGTTATGTATGGCTGTGTAGCTACCACTGACTGTACCCTGTTATGTATGGCTGTGTAGCTACCACTGTACCCAGTTATGTATGGCTGTGTAGCTACCACTGGCTGTACCCTGTTATGTATGGCTGTGTAGCTACCACTGGTTGTACCCTGTTATGTATGGCTGTGTTGCTACCACTGACTGTACCCTGTTATGTATGGCTGTGTAGCTACCACTGTACCCAGTTATGTATGGCTGTGTAGCTACCACTGGCTGTACCCTGTTATGTATGGCTGTGTAGCTACCACTGGTTGTACCCTGTTATGTATGGCTGTGTAGCTACCACTGACTGTACCCTGTTATGTATGGCTGTGTAGCTACCACTGTACCCAGTTATGTATGGCTGTGTAGCTACCACTGGTTGTACCCTGTTATGTATGGCTGTGTAGCTACCACTGACTGTACCCTGTTATGTATGGCTGTGTAGCTACCACTGTACCCAGTTATGTATGGCTGTGTAGCTACCACTGGTTGTACCCTGTTATGTATGGCTGTGTAGCTACCACTGACTGTACCCTGTTATGTATGGCTGTGTAGCTACCACTGTACCCAGTTATGTATGGCTGTGTAGCTACCACTGACTGTACCCTGTTATGTATGGCTGTGTAGCTACCACTGACTGTACCCTGTTATGTATGGCTGTGTAGCTACCACTGTACCGTGCTGGCTGTACCCCGGGGCCACGGTTGCAGTCCCATTTAATTGATACTTTTAATATTCGGGTAAATAATTGGGATCTACTAAGGGGTACTCGTAAATTAACGTTTAGCAGCTTTTTGCCAATCTCTCAACACCCATCACATATCGCTACATCGTCAAAAAAAAACCGTCAAATTTCATGGACTGCCCCTCACAGCACTTTATGACAAACATCTAACGCACCAACCACACCAGAGGCGCAGCTAGAGGCGGGCGGGTGGAGCGTCTGCCCCGGGCTCTAACATTACGGGGCGCCAAACAGGATAGGAAATAAATAAAAGCTCATTCTTAGCTGCATTCTAACTTATGCACAGTTCAAATTAAGAAAATAGATTGCTTCTTGGCTTTACCAGTTTATGCCTAATCCTATACAAATTGTGTGACACCAAAAAAAAAAGGTATAAGGAATTCTGACTGGTAACAAGCGCCCTAAACCTTTCCAAATGAGGGTGGTTTCAGGAAATGGACGGGGTGGGGGGGGGGGGGCGTTTTTTCGTCTATGTGAAGAACTATATTTAAATGGAGGTTTGAGGGTTCAAAATGGATAGTTTGTCCAGGGCGCCAGAATGTGTCGTGACGCCCCAGCCTTACACCCATCAGGTGTGTGATGTTCTTTATGGACGACTTCCTAACCTAAGTCTTCATTAAGGGTTCTGTTGGTTATATCACTGACAGTATTAAAAAAGTTTTAAAATAATACTTACACTTTCAAAGCTTACCTCTGTGGTTAGAATAATGGCATGTAGGCTGTCATAGAACTAGTGTATGGGCAGGTAAAAAAAAAGCCAATTTAGCGACAAATACAGATGCAAGTCGAGGATCGTTCAACATTTTTAAACCTGAAATAAATAAGACAAAGTCGTTAGAGAAATTCACGATAATGTGATAGGGGTTGTCTATAAATGACGTCACACTCATAAGAGCAAGGGGAAGGGTCCGAACTTTTGTGACATGGGAGAGAGTTCATAAAGAATAATGTCACTTTTTTACTTTCTCGTATAGAGAAAGTATTGTAATCGTGCAAAAAAAATCGAGATTTTTACAAATCTCGACGTTTTACACCTCACTGATACGGAAAAACATAATTTTGCAATCTTGTCCGTATGTCTGTCTGTGTGTCTGTGTGTAAACACGATAACTTGAGTACCGTTACAGCTAGTTTGATAAAATTTCATACATAAGTATTTATCAAAATCGTACATCCTGATCAACTTTTGAGCGATTTCCGATAACCGGAAGTGGTACTTTTTCTACTTTGAATTTTTCAAAAGCCTACAACTTGCGTACTTTTGTAGATAGATGCATGTAATTTCACAAGTAAGTAAAAGATCTAATTCTCTACCTTCTGTCAAATTTTGAGGAATTTCCGTTGACCGGAAGTACTAATTTACGCTATTTCCGATTTCTCAAAAAAACGCATGTAAATTTATAAAGTACTAATAATATCCCGCACTTTTATGCACATTTTATTAGGCGTTCACTTGGTGTGGGACGGAGTGGTCTAGCGGTAGAGAGCTGGACTGCTAACCCCTTAGTCTCGAGTTCGAATCCGAGTTCAAGTCAGTAGACCGTCCCTGAGTCCACCCAACTCTGATGGGTACCTAACTCCTGTTAGGGAAAGTAAAGGCGGCTGGGCATAGTGCTGACCACACTATCTCTTCACATGCCAAGGTCACAGAAACAAGTGAACTCTACTTCACTTGCCCCATAGACCGTCAGGTTTGAAAGGGAAACTTTTCACTTGGTGTCAATTCTTTTTTTTTACGAGATTCTATTCTATTATAAAAAAAGTTTAAGTAATTAAAAATATTGTCGATGTCCTGAGTTGCCATCCCTCGTAATTTTATATGAGAATATTCGAGAAAGTTTAGGGGAGATCACTCCCGGTTTATTTTCAATTTGAAAAGTGATTAATTATTTGGAGATTTTTCGTTGTTGTACAAATGGTTATAAAATGTGGTCAATATATCTAATACTGTCATAGCCTTGTAAATATTCTGCAAAAACTCCCCGTTCTTATAGAAAAAGAATAAATTTAGGGGTAAGGCAATGTGTTTTATTATTTTATGGAGGGGTGGGGCATTTTATTTTTTTGAGTAAATGTTTTACGATGGAGGATGGAGGGAATTACTCGTTAAAAACGTGAAGTTATTTATAGATATTGTTGTAGTTTACAAAAATGCTATTTAGAATTTAATTAGGTTTATTCCAAAAGAATCTATATATGTAATTCTCTTCATGGGGACCATGCGAGACACCACCACGTAAACCGTGGGGGTGGGGGTGGGGAGGGGAAACGGAAGGGAGGTTAGTGTCGAAAAACACTAATTATGAAGTACTGAAAAGTAGAAAATAAAACAACTAGATCTAAATAGCGGCGTTTAATACGTGGCATATCAGCTCGTAAAGTAATAAAAATTAAACACAAACTCCGAAAGAAAGATAACTATCTTAATTTTTAAAGTAATTGTCAACTCAATGTTATTTCCCTTTCCAATGAATACTTTTTCTGTACCGGGTTTCTAGATACTGCTACATGCCTATTTAACTTGAGTCTTTAAATGTGTAATTGTCATGATGCTTTTGATTATTAAAACAAAATGTTATTTCTGATGGTACATCTAGTTTCTAACACTAATGTAGGATCTACAAACTTATATTTATAACTTAGAATCCCAGTACTTTAATACTACTAGCAATCCGCGTCCGGCGCTGCTAATAAAAATAAAATAAAGCACGACAGTTACATTTTATATCGGCATTTTTATTCCTATATTAATTTAATCCCGCCATTTCATCATTTAATTTCATTGTTTTTAGCAAATATCTAAAATTACTCATTCTTAGACCGAGTTAGACCTCATTCTTCTAATCTTTATGTAGGCTAGTCACCATGTTTTCAGATCTAGATCTAGATCTAGATCTAGATCTAGAGTCTACGTGCCATTATGCCTTTTTATGGCTATACAAAAAATATAAACAAATAAAAAAATAAATTGATTTTACTTATTAATTGATTTAAATATTTTTGTAGAAAAATCAACCATATTGAATTTTAATATAGATCTAGATCTAAATAAATATATTTTAAATCATCGTTGCAAAAATAATTTTAAGCTGTATTTAGGCCTAAATACTTTTAAATACATATTTTGTTAGGCCTTTCTTTTCACAAAAATGTGGTTTACAATACAATTATTGATATCGTAAAAAAGTAGAATCTACTTTATTATATTTCTAGTAATCTATATTCCACTGTATAGGCCTAGATCTAGATATATTTATTATTTGATCTAGATCTAGAGTCTAGACTGTCTCTAGATATATATATATATTTATATATACCAGATCTAAATCTAAAAATCTGTAGGCCTAGATTCTATTATACTATTATATTATAATAATATAAAATCGTACCAAACAAAAAATGGTTTAACATCCTGATTTACAGAATATTTACTTATTTAGACTGGAATCTAGATCTAGATCTAGATCTAGGCCAAATTCTTATTTGAACGTGAAATGACGAATGTTACTTCTCTATGCTCTAGTTTTCCTAATGATCCTGATAAGTGCGTAAGTAAACATATAAAAAAGTAAGCAAAATATTAGTTTTTGTTAATGGCATTATTATGGTGCAGTCCTCTTGATCTACATAATACTGTTACAAAGGGAAGTGGGTGTCTCCCTAACTCACTTGAGTGGTATGGGAAGCTAGAATTCTAGATCTAGATGAAACTAGTTAATTTACCTCTGCTGGCCTAGAATTTTAGTAGATTAGACATATTATTATTAGCAGAGCTACCCAACAATAAAAAAATGTGCATAAGCCAGTCAAGTAATAACATTTTAATCAATGGGCCAATTCTGTGCATTCATTAGGCACTAAACTAAACTAGATAAATCATTTACAGTGGCATAGGCCAGGTGTATAGGCCCTGGGCTTAATATAATATCTAGGACATTTTTAAAACAATCAATTAAAGAATAATAATGTTCTATACATTTTGCATGAAAATAAATTTAAAGAGCCTAAAAATCCTACAATCATAATAATGTTTCCTGTCTATGGTGCTTCTGGTTGATTTACAAATTTACTTGCATTTTTAGTTGCTTTGATTTTTTAATTATAGCTGTTTAGAACCAGATATAGATATAAAGCTAAACAATTATATATTATCTGCTATGATTGACAAAAATATTTTCTTTTGCAGGATGTGATTATTTCTTTAAGAAAAACATCAGGAGCTTTGTCTTTCATAGGATGGTAAGAGAGAAGAGGGTTTTCCTCAAATAGCATCTGCAATTTAAGCCCTTACCCACTGTTGTCTCATGCAGTAAAAAAAAAAGCAGATTTACCCCCCCCCCCCCCCTCTTTTACAATAATAGATTATTTTTATGAAACATACCAGCTTCAATTTCTTTACCCCATTCACTCACATCACAAAATGTATAATGCCATCTATGCTGTCATTAGTGAATAATACCTAATGTTTATAATATTTTACTTTTTGAAAATTTGTAAAACAACTTTATTTTGATGATTCTGTTCATTCATTAATTAAACGAACAAAAATACTTAATAAGTCTGTTGACACATGTTTGAATGTATTTCAGTTTGTTCATGATATGCATCATCTGGATTTTCAAGAGATATGTTGTCTTTGCTCAGGTCAGTTTTTCCAATCTTTACAAATGTGGCAGAAGTGTTAAGATCAGCATAGAACCTTTGTCTGACTATACACAACGCAATCTTTTTGCCAGCATTTATTTGCCTTAATTTCAAATATAACACAGACTCATGTACAACCAGGGGCGGAACTACCATACCGCCAGACCCCGCAATGCGGGGGGGCCCAGGACGTTTAGGGGCCCAGTTCCGACCAAAAAACAATGAATTTGTTTTTCAAAAATTATGTTTTTCATGCATCTTAAAAGTGGTTTTGTAAAAAAAAAAAAAAAAAAAAAGGTCTACTATAGCAGAGATTGTTGCGTAGAAAAATATTTTATAATCTACAAGAGCTATAGTTTGAAAGGTAGGCAAACATTCACACTACTTCCATGACTTACTGCCCTTCTTTAAAATAGGGATGCCCACAAAGCTCATTTAAATATTTTGTACTATGTATATTAAAAAGCAATTAAATTCTCTGAATTATTATTTAAATAAGACGTAATAAACAATGGTATAGCCATAAAAATCAATGTTTTCAAAATTGATATTATAAAAGCCAAAAATGAAAAGAATAAACATAACGCGAGAAACCATTCACGAATCAAGCTTACGTCTTTATATATTTTTGACCAGCATGTATAGAAGTGTTTATGATAATTTCTAGCTTAAGATGAGTTTGGACCAAATTTGTCTGGATTGTTCTCTCAGAATGGTTTTATATTGCAATGAAGTAGACTAAATTACTCAGTTAGGATATAGATATATATATATATATATATATATATATATATATATAGGGGGCCCTAATTTTTTCTTTGCGGGGGAACCCTTTTTTTCTAGTTCCGCCACTGTGTACAACCCTACAGACCTAATGCTTTATATTTATTATACACTTTCCATCAGCAGTGTATCCATTAGGTTTAGTATATGGAAAATTAAAACTACATATCATTGTATATACAATTATTTAAGTTCCCAACCAAAAGATTGTTTCACAAATAGAAAATTAAATCCCTTTTGTGCTACACAAATTTTCATCATGAACTTGAAAAAAGCAAAAATAATTACTTTATTAACGAGACAACAAACAACTATTACTAAGCCCTGCATATTTTATTTGCCATATATTTAAATGGGCTAAAGTACTTCATTGTACATTTTATGTATTACAACTTAACTCATGTCAACAGCAGGGAAAAAATGAAAACACATTACAAAGCAATTTTAGAATAAAAACCTCCTTTTTTTCTTTTTAGAAAAAAAGTATTTTTAGGCTACTGATTTTCATTATTAACATGAATTGGTATCAAGTTATAAACAATTCTTTAACGGTAATGCAGTTGAAAATCCCATGTGACACCTTTATTGAAATATTTAATGTCTTTGTTGAATATTGATTCAATCTTGGAATATTCTAGTGGTTTACCTATCTTTCAGCGCTTGATCCTGTATCTAAGTATAGCCGCAATGCTGGACAGTATAGGCTATCTTATGGTGAGTGTAAATGGTATAGTCAACTCATAGTGTCATATTGGCTACCTCTTCGTGTTGTAAAGCTTCCCATGGTGCATGTATTTTCATGTGCAAAATTAAAGAAAAAAACCAAGTTTATTAACAATGATTTTTCTTTCTAATTTCCTTTTGGAAAAACAAGTAATTTGTTGTCATAAATCTCCTATCTTTACTTGCTTGTCAGTTATATATCTGTGTAGTTTTAAAGCTTTGTTTTACTACTTCTATACAAAACTTAAAGGTTTACAAAATATATTTTAGAGTGCAGACATTGAAGATGGCCCAGTATGTAATTTTCAAGGATGGTGGCTAACTTTTTTTGGTAACTAAATGTTTTTTTTAAAAATGTACATTTTTTAAATTGCTTATTTTAAGTATGTAAAATGTGATCTTGTACACATGTGTCAGCTAATCTTTAATCTTGCCAAAATGCTGTGTTGCCTTTAGGAACACCGTTGTCTTAGCCACATTGTTCGGTTTCTTTTATTCCCAGATTGGGTGGTTTTGCTGAGTGTTTCCTGCATTACTTTTAATTTATTCATGAATGCAGTCAAACAAATTTCAACAGAGAAATTTGAATGGTGAGTTTAAATAAAAAACTAAAACTGGTAATTTTATAGTCTGAGACAGTTGTGATTACATAACTATTTGAGCAAGGTTTCTGCTAGCTGTTATTTTTGGCAGTGATGATTTAAAGAATTAGTTTGTGTTAGTCAAATATATTTACTTTTATTCAGATTTATTTTAGAACTCCTATTCCCTTAGTACTTAGAGCTAGATAGTACTTTTAAGGTAATAGAATCTCTGTGATCTATATGCAGGCTGTACCTGGCTGTTTGTGTGCTGGTGCCACTTCTGATTTCCTGTTTACCTTTTGCTGGTGACCACTATGGACCTGCTGGAGCCTGGTGGTGAGTCATGCTCTGTTTTTAAACCTTCCAACTTCTGGGATAGTCTAACATTTGATTTTTGATTAAAAAAAATATTTTTATTAAACCTCAAATAAAACTCTAATTTTAGATTTTTGTAAAAAAACAAATTATGAACTCTAATCTTTGGTTTTTTTTGTTTGTTTTTAGTTGGATTGTAGAGGATTTTGCTTGGAGAGTTGGTGTGTAAGTATATATACTGTTAGTTGTAATGCAGTTGTCCACAAATTAATGTTGTTTGTTGTGAATGCATGTGTTTCAACTCTGTAAAATGTACATTTTTGTTTTTTCTCTAGCTGGTATGGGCCACTTTTCATCATCATTCTGTGTATGATGTTTGCTTATGGCTACATCATCTTCAGCCTCAGACAAAAGGTCAGGATATCTTGTCAAATAAAAGATGTGTACAAGTTATAAACTATATGTAAATATTTAACAGATGAATTTGTAATAGTGCATTTAATTTTTTTTATTTTCTATATGTAAATATTCAACACATGAATTTGTAATAGTGCATTTATTTATTTTTATTTTCTATTGCATTCCAGGCATCCAATTGGGAGGGGACATATGACCCAGACACAGAAAGGCAACATGTAAGTAAAGTCTATTCTGATTGGTCAAGTGCCAAATTTTAAATTGGTTGATTGTGTTCTGATTGGTAGTCTCAGAGAGATACAAGTATAACAAGGCTTTATTATACCAAAACAAAAACATTTTTAACATTGAACATTTAGGGTTTCACTCAAAACATACCCTAGCTAGAAACCATTGAAGGATCTCCATAACTTCTTGATCTTTAAAAATGGGGGAGTTACTAGCCACACTAGAGAAGTGCTGACCACATCTGTATAATTACTGGCCTGTAATAGTTGACATGTGTGATAATCAACTGACCACATCATTTTAATAATGACCACCTTTCTGTTTGTACCCTTATTGAACATTAAAGACCCAAACAATATCCAAATATAATTAATTCATTTTTCCTTCCCCTCTAGCACTTGCTGAAAGAAGATATCAAACCACTAAGAGTCTACCCATTTATTTATTTGGCTGTTTCACTTTTCCCTTTAATTAACAGGTTTGTCCATTATTTTACTCCTCATCAATTTGTTAAGCAGAAATTATAATTAAAAATTAGTTACTTAAAATTTTAATAATAATATTTTTAACTCTTCACTTGTTACTGTGTCAAAGAACATTAACTCTAGTACTTGTTTACTATTGTAACTAAAATGATCTTTTCTTTGTTCTTCCAGAGTCCAGAATGCCATAGAACCAGACTACCATATATTTGTTTTGGTTTTACTCTCTTCAATATTTTCCCCACTTCATGGTCAGTAACACAATATTTGTATTTTATCATTCATAATTCTTTTGTTCCCTAAACCTGTAGCCATTGTTATAATCCAGACCACTTAATGTAGTTGTGATGAATTTTAAAATTAGCTGACCCCTCCCTCAAACAAATACATCAGAATTTAACATACCTGATCATTTGCAGCAATTGTATTTTTTATTTACTCCTCTGAATGTTAGGTTAACTGAAGTATCCATGACCTGTATTGACATGGTTAAGTTTGACCTTGAATAATGCAGCTGCCTGAAATTGTTTGATTTTGTTGCAGTCTAAATTTGTTGGAATTTATAGCAGTTTAAAATTGTTTCACTTTGTAGGAGCTCTGAATGCCATTGCATTTGGCGTAGATAAAGACACACTGTCAAAACTGCGACCAAGTGAAATCAAGGTCAGTAAATTTTTCTTTTCCTTGTTCCATCTCTCCATTTTCTAATGCATGCCAAAAGTTTTTTTGTTTCACATTTAAAATTTTGGTCTGTTACTCTGATTGAACATTTTAATCTAAATATCTAAACTGTATGAACTGGAGCTAGCAACCATGTTTGGGTTTAAATTGGTAGTAGTAATATTCTGTAGGAAAATTATATTTGCTAGTTAATCAGCTGAACATGTAATTATGTAGCCTATTAAAATAATTTTAGACAAATTTCTGATAACATTTTAAAATAATTTTGTTGGTATGATTAGTTTTAAAACAGTTAATCTAGCTAATTGCTTTTGAGAAAATTTTATTGACATAGCTTTTTATTTTTTAAACATTGCTTAAATATTTTCGTAATTAAGTTTTAAAAGGTAGAAAAGCTGTAGTTTTTAAAATTACACCCCTTAAACTATTTTTAAATGAAATATGTATTTATTTGGGTGCATGTTGCGCAACAAATTTAGATACATTTATGTTGCCTCTTTTTATAATTCATTTGGTTGACAAGTTAGCATGTTTTGCTTCACTTTGTTCAAGTTTTTTTGTTTGTTCTGTAACTGCTTAATGTTTGGATATTCTATTACGGAGTGGTTCAGTTAACCAGGTAGTGGTTATAGCTACCCATACAATGATTAGCTACAGTGCAACAAAGGAACAGCATGGTACATCTCTTGATTACTTATACAAATCTGGAGTTCAGATCTTGAGCCAAAGTTTTGTAGAAGATTCAGCTGAAAAGTCAGGGATAGTTAAGACAACTAGGCATAATGCTGACCACACTGTCCATTCATATGGTGTGGTCAAAGTTTTGTAGAAGACCCAGCTGAAAAGTCAGGGAAAGTTAAGGCAACTAGGCATAGTGCTGACCACACTGTCCATTCATATGGTGAGTTCAAAGTTTTGTAGTAGACCCAGGTAACATGTTAGGGAAAGTTAAGACAACTAGACATAGTGCTGACCACACTATCCATTCATATAGTGAGGTCAAAGAAACTTATCATCTACCTCATCTGCCACATGGCCCATCTGGTCTAAAAGGGAGCATTACTTTACTTTTACATATAATATATTATGACCTCTATACATTCCTGTATACTGATTTCTATTAGGTTATTGATATCTATGTTGGGGGCATTTGTTTATTTTCATGCATTATTTATTTTGTTTTGTTTATCAAACATTGCATGATTAGACTACTTATAAGCATGAAATTGATTGATGTGGTTTATTTTTATTTACATTTTTACTTTAGTTGACTCTAAAATCATACTTTCATTCAACTGTATAAAGCATAGAAAATTAAATTAATTGATGTTTTTTTGTGTGTGCCAAAATAATTTTTTTTTTTAAAGATTAAATTTTTTAGATGGTTAAACTTAAAAAAAACCTGCATGAAAATGAAACTTGTCTATTGTCTTAGCTTGCTCTACTAAATCGGAAGTCTCGGCAAAAGGTTCGAGAGTATCCGTATTCTTACGCCACCTTCAACATAGACAACGAGGCCCCACTCTCTGAAGAAGAACTGGCAGGTCAAGGAGAAGATAATCCAAGTAGACCAATTCTTCATAGATAGCATTAGCTCCCCTGGATATTCCATCTACTTTGTTGTTCCTGTAAAAGAAAAACATTCACAATTGTTGATGAAGGAAACAAAACAGTGAGGCATCAAGAGCTGTATCAAAATAGTTTAGTCTAGTATTCTGACAGTGGCATGTAGAAAGTAGTCCTGTGTTTTGTTTGAAAAGGTCAGTGACCTCAGACATGTGCTATTAAAAAAAAGTGAGTAGCCATTGAAATGAAACTTTAGGGTTTTTATTTTGTTGTAAGAGAAATACAGGCTGTGATTTTGTTGTGTAATTGAAGAACACACTTTTTGTAGAGTTCATACAGAGATGGTGATTTTTTTTTAGTTCAAGATCTGTTGATGATAATTGATAGAACCTAAATTGTATGGTTGATTGATCAGATTATAAGAATGTGGTTAAATGAGATTTTTGTCTTGGTGTCACGCTGTTCTCAGTGGTGACACTGATGTCAGTGGTGACACTCTGATGTCAGTGGTGACACTCTGATCTCAGTGGTGACACTCTGATCTCAGTGGTGACACTCTGATCTCAGTGGTGACACGCTGATCTCAGTGGTGACACTCTGATCTCAGTGGTGACACTCTGATCTCAGTGGTGACACTCTGATCTCAGTGGTGACACTCTGATCTCAGTGGTGACACTCTGATCTCAGTGGTGACACTGTGATGTCAGTGGTGACACTCTGATGTCAGTGGTGACACTCTGATCTCAGTGGTGACACTCTGATCTCAGTGGTGACACTCTGATCTCAGTGGTGACACTCTGATCTCAGTGGTGACACTGTGATGTCAGTGGTGACACTCTGATGTCAGTGGTGACACTCTGATCTCAGTGGTGACACTCTGATCTCAGTGGTGACACTCTGATCTCAGTGGTGACACTCTGATTTCAGTGGTGACACTCTGTCAGTGGTGACACTCTGATCTCAGTGGTGACACTCTGATCTCAGTGGTGACACTCTGTCAGTGGTGACACTCTGATTTCAGTGGTGACACTCTGTCAGTGGTGACACTCTGATCTCAGTGGTGACACGCTGATCTCAGTGGTGACACTCTGATCTCAGTGGTGACACGCTGATCTCAGTGGTGACACGCTGATCTCAGTGGTGACACTCTGATCTCAGTGGTGACACTCCTCAGTGGTGACACTCTGATCTCAGTGGTGACACTCTGATCTCAGTGGTGACACTCTGATCTCAGTGGTGACACTCTGATCTCGGTGGTGACACTCTGTCAGTGGTGACACTCTGATCTCAGTGGTGACACGCTGTTCTCAGTGGTGACACTCTGATCTCAGTGGTGACACTCTGATCTCAGTGGTGATACTCTGATCTCAGTGGTGACACTCTGATCCCAGTGGTGACACTCTGTGATGGTGACAAACAGTAGTTGATGAGTTATTATTTTTGTGGTGCAAGTTTTGGGTGTATTTAAATTGTCATTAAAATAAGCAGAAATTTTGGATGTATCAATCTAACATTTATGATTGTCTGAATTTTTTGGTTATATATTACTTCTTGCATTTGTATACTATATCACATAGTATTTATTTGTTTGGTGTTATTAAAATACATTGTGGAGCAATACATGTCAACTGTTTTTAGGTTCATGTATTTACAAAAATAATAAAAACATGTCAGATATTTTCTCAGGGTTTCTTACTTGAATATTTATTTTTTAAAGCTATTTGTCTAGTAAACCACAAGGGTTTTAGGGTGTTTTTTTTCTAGTGTCCTACTAAAGTTATTTTGTCTAGTGTACTACTAAAGATATTTTGTCTAGTATCCTACAAAAATTATTTTTTTCTAATGTCCTACTAAAGTTATTTTTTCTAATGTCCTACTAAAGTTATTTTTTCTAATGTCCTACTAAAGTTATTTTTTTGTGTGTCCTGCTATAAAAAGGTTTTGTGTAGGTTATAACTGCCATTTTTTTTACACATTTTTACTCGTTTAGCTTGCGTTCCGCGCAAAGATGGCACCAAGAACAAAAGTAGCCGAGTACCCACAGCCTCCAGGTGATATGGATAAACTAGAGGAGATAACACTGGACTAGAGGGCATCTGGACTAGAGGGCATCTGGACTAGAGGGCATCTGTATTAGTGGGCTTCTGGACTAGAGGGCTTCTGGACTAGAGGGCATCTGGACTAGAGGGCATCTGGACTAGAGGGCATCTGGACTAGAGGGCATCTGGACTAGAGGGCATCTGGGCTAGAGGGCATCTGGACTAGAGGGCATCATTGATAACACTGGTTGGTAGGTGAAAGCACTGGTACACGGGCAGCAAATGTAGAACACGGAACTGTTAACATTTGACAGTTCGCCAGACAACGCTAGCAGACAGGACAGCTGTAGAACATTGGACAGTATTAGTACACAGGACAGCTGTAGAAGACAGGACAACACTAGTAGACAGGACAGCTGTAGAACATTGGACAGTATTAGTACAGAGGACAACACTAGTACTAATAGACAGGACAGTATTAGAACGCAGTAGTTGGCCTACATTATGATATCTAGACTTGGGTTATTTAATCACATACTGTTGGAAGTTAAGGAAGTAGTTATAGTTATAGTGTTAAATTATTTAATCACATACTGTTGGAAGTTAAGGAAGTAGTTATAGTGTTAAAAACGAACAAACAAGCATACTAGTTGGGTTATTTTACTAGATCTAGTAATCAACTTCCACTCATAAATCACTTTATGGCTGTGTACGTTAATTTTCACATCCTTATCCCTACTATATTTCTCATTTTATTTGTTGTACAAAATATATACGTCTCCCATTTTTACTTGTGTAAAATACATATAAACTAATGTATTATTTTTTAATTAATTAAGCATTTTTTTAGAGTTTTTGATATTTTTTTTAAACGTATTTGTGGGATGACATTTTTTGTTCGTATCGTGTATGGGGGGGGGGGGGGTGGCACAAGGCACGCGTGGTGAGGCTAATGTTGGGCTTAGCGTTGTTATATAAGTTATAACAGCAGGGACGTATTAGGGGGAGGGCGGCCGCCCCGGGCGCCGACCTTTGTGGTGACCAAACTGGTTAGAAAAAAATGACAGAAGTTTTTTATACAAAGTTCAAGTTAAGAAAACAATTCGGCAACTTGGTTTTACGGGCCCATTTTTCTGTTTTCTAAATCATGTGTGTGATAGCAACATAAACATTCTAAAACGAAAGAGACTGGTAAAAAATCAACGTGAATACCTATACAAATGGGGGGGGGGGGAAGTGGGGGCGAATTTGATATTTCGCCCCGGCCCTCGTATTTTGTCGTTACGCCTCTGTAAACAGCCTGCTCTATTTATGTATAACAACTTATAAAATATTATTATTTAAAATAAATTTAGTTGAATTAGCTAACTAACACGTCTAATCCATTCTGTTAACTAGATCTACTTAAAATATTCTTGATCTTGTCGAACCAGTATCTTGTGAAATCAAACGGTCCAGGCTGTAGGCTCAAAAACTCTCGTTATTTTTTGTAAGGCCAGATTTTATTTTCAAACTCAGTTTTTTGTTTAAATCTTGTACACAGACCAGGCACTAGACATTATTCACCATGTAGGAACCTACATTAGCTCCAGCTATTTAGCTGTGTGTTGTATTTAAACGAGCATTAAATACGACAGAGCGCTAAAAGCTAATCCAATATTAATGATGATTTACTCTCCATTCAACCATGACAATTTTCGTCAACACATTTTCGGCATTCAATTATTTTTTCCTTTTCTTATAAATGTACGACAAGGTCATGAAAACTTTTGGTCGGGGTTGACAACTTGAACGATTCATGACCCGGTATTTTAAGGGTAGCTGGCTTTATTCTGCTCCCCTGGGGCGTGTCTGGCCTTGCTGTAGGGGTGCCTGCTTATCTCTGCGACCCTTGTTATATTGGTTGTGTCTGGCCTTGCTTATCTCTGCGACCCTTGTAAGTTATATTGGTTGTGTCTGGCCTTGCTTATCTCTGCGACCCTTGTTATATTGGTTGTGTCTAGCCTTGCTTATCTCTGCGACCCTTGTTATATTGGTTGTGTCTGGCCTTGCTTATCTCTGCGACCCTTGTTATATTGGTTGTGTCTGGTCTTGCTTATCTCTGCGACCCTTGTATGTTATATTGGTTATGTCTGGCCTTGCTTATCTCTGCGACCCTTGTTATATTGGTTGTGTCTGGCCTTGCTTATCTCTGCGACCCTTGTATGTTATATTGGAATCTTTCAGCGAGTGCGTGAACGTGTGGCAACATTGTGTAAAGGGCTTAGGCGGCGAGAGAGGGCATAGGAGTTTGTATGAAAAACATGAGAGCAATCAGAATTTTTATGACCAGGGAATGGTAAAGTTGTATAGGACGCAAGTGTTTGTTGTATGGAATGGAAAGGGCGTGGTGGACGGCCGTTTTCAATAGACGGTAGCTGTTGTGTAATGTATTGGAGGTAGGGAGGGGTGGGTGAACTCAAGGCGCGGGGTGGGGGAATCGAAGCGCAAAAGTTTTTTGTTGTGTAGTGCACTGCCGGCAGGGAGGGGGTGGTGGATTCCCGAGGCCATCGACACTAAAGTGTCCCCCCGGAACTCATGTAGTTAGCATCACGTGACCATCATAAGAAACATCCGTATCGGCTGCAGACATGCATGGCTGTGTGCTTTTTCAAAAGTTGCTCGCGAGTTTAAAATACGAACACTGTAAAAAAGAGAGTGGGTGCTGTTGTGAATTAAACCTGATTTGTACATTCTGAGTGAGAGAACAATATCCACTTTCGCACAAGACCCGAATAGCTACCCAATGCTAGACGGAGATTGTTCACCTGCGCAGAAGTGATTGTGCTAGAGCCAAACCAATATTGCATCTGATAGAACAAGGGACGCAACTCGTAAGTTGATACTGGTGACACCTGGTGGCACCTGGTGACACAACCTAGGTCAACAGAGATCTATCTACACCTTTTTTCTTTCCGGCACGAATGACCTTGACCTTTTGGGATTTCCTGGCACTATTTTCACCTAACAATGCCACCTTCTGTGATAACTGGATTCGATACATCCCAACGTGACGACCTCTCCTGATGGTGATATCGATTCTCCTAACTGTAACCGTCTCTTCCAAAATAAAATAAAAATTCCCTACAAAATCCACATAGGAATGTAATATTAAACACACTTAATCTTTACGGCGTAGTCGAATGGTAGAGCGTTTGGTTGCTGGTCCGAAGGTCTGAGTTCGGATCTCGGATCGAACTTGTGACAGGAGAGCGTCTTTGAGTCCACCCAGCTCTGATGGGTACCTGACTTACGTTAAAGAAAGTATAAGGGGCTGGATATAGTGCTGACCACACCATCCCTTCATAAGCTGAGGTCAAGAAAGATATGAACTCTACTTCATCTGCCCAGCAGATCGCTTGTTCTAAAGAGGAACCACTTAATTCATTT